ACCCAGCAAGGGTCGAAAACCAAGCTGCAATTGAGACCTCCAACACTAAGCCACAATAAGAGTTAGAGCAACATTCTCATGCTAAGTAAAAAAATAGATGAAAAGCTTCATAATGCATATCCCAACATGCTTGCAAGAGGAGCTAAAATTATCTCAAAGCCATGTTTCAACCTTCCTATTCACAATAATAGGAATATGCCACGATTTCATCTCAAGCAAATAGAGAAAGGAAGAACACTTATGTCATGCTATATTTCCACCATTCTAAGCAAGTAATCAAATCTAAATCCTAAAACATGCTCATATTTTTATTCTTCACATGCTCTTAAGGTGAATATCTCAAAATACATGAAAGTGAATTAAACTAGCATGTTGTACCATCCAACAGAGCCATGCTCAGTGGCTCGGTAGAGAGAAAACCAAAAGGAAGCAAGGCACCGAAAAAGGGGGGGAGAAGTGATACCTTCCTAATGCCTATGTAAAGCTCCCACAGAAATTTTCCTTATAAAATCCTCCAAAAGCAAAGTTCTCTACTTCCCCTCTCCTTCGGAAAATTTCAACAACCACAAAACCCAAAAGAAACTTTATTTTATAGGCAGAGAAGAGAAGGAAAAGAATGAAACCATCCCACCTCCCTCCGGTACTCGAATCGGGTCAAAGAAGAAAAGACCGCTCCCCCCTGCCTTACCGCAGGCGAGGCAACCGAAGTGCCCAGGACCAAGTGGTGAGCCGAGTGGCAGGGAGAGAAGCATCGAGAAGAAGAGAAGGTTGTCACTCAAGTGGTCCAGGGAGCAAGTTCATCAGAGTCAACCTACCAAGAAAGGAAAATCACAGCTCATAGAGGCAGGCGCAGCTTCGAAAAGGAGAGTCTCGAGCAGAAAGTGTCGGGCAAGGACGAATGAGAGGTCAACTCTCCCTCGCGTAGAGGAGAAGGGCTCGGTCGGCTCGAGACCGAGAAAGGGAAAAGCGGGACACAAGAACATGAGAGGGGAAGGGAGGCAGAGCTCGGGTGCGTGAGTTTAGGGATTTAGGGCTTTAAAAGAAAAAAGGAGGAGTTGTTTTTTTGTTATTATTAATATATATATATAATACTTTTATAAATA